GTTGTGAGTACTCACCAGAATTGAAGCATGTTTTCAAATTCATAAAACATTTATCAATGTCCTTACATTGACAATGAAATTTAATTTCACAATTTAGTTAGTTAGTTATAAGTAAAATTGTTATTTATGCATTTGTTGGTGGTGTGGAATTGATCTTGTTGTGATGTTAAATTATTTTTTATAATATTGATAAGAGTTGAATCTAATAAAAGGATTAATCTCTCATAATGTAGTGAATCAATATTCAAATTTTAATTAAAAGAGATTTTAATGTTTAATACTTAATAATGTTTTGAACGTGGTTATTTCAAATAAAACGATGTTCGTGGAAATCAAACAAAATACATCAAAACTTTGGGCCATCTCTACCGTACGAGAGCCTGAAAGAGATTCGTCAGAAGCTCAAACATCGGAGTTAGAGTTGCTGCAAGTAAATCGAGAAAGCGTATGAGCCTATCTTTCTCTGTATATTTTCAAAGGAGAGTGTGCTGGATGATTACGTTCACTAAAGAATTGAACAAGTTTATCTCAATGTTTTAAAAGTGGGATCCAATATTTATCCCAAAAAGCAAGTGAATTTTAGTTCTCTAATCAAATAGATTATATGTTGAAGTGATAACATAAAAATTAAATAAAAATAATATTAAATACATGTATAAAATATAAAAAAGAAATAAATTTATAATATATTTAGTTGTCAATAAAATAACATTAATGTTATAAGTTATACTTTTATAACTTGTTGTATATATAAGTGTTTTCTGTTAAATTAAGCATAAATAAATTTAAAAGTATTTGTATAATAGTTGTCGACATTTTTTTAACAAAATATTCTCAAATGATATTATATACATATGAATGTCTAAAAATGAACTTGACTTTTTGAAAGGCCAAATTTAATTTGGATTTTTTTGGTTTATTTTAAGTTTTTTTAACAGATTTTAATCAAGTTTATTGGTATAAAGTTGTTTCATGTTTCAGTTCAATGGCAACTTAACTTCATTCCAACCCAATGTAACCATGAAAATATATTTTTTGTCTTAATTGAGCTGTTAGTGAATCTGATTTACAATTCAACCAGTCTATCTATTGATCGGTTCTATCTTTAAAAACATTGATTTATTTAAAGATTTAATGTAGTAGCTTGAAAACTTTTGATATATTTATATTATAATAATAAATATAATCATGATTGAATGGTTTAAGTCAAAGTTGAAGTCGATCAACAAGAAAAATACACGTACTACTTATAATTTGAGAAATTTGAAAAGTCTTGCCCCCTGAAGTTGGGTATCCACAAAACACACACACACACACACAAATATCCTAGTATCCGAATTTTAATTTTGGTTATTGAAGAGTAGCTAATTATATATATGCGTGTAGGGGTGAGAATAAGTCAGGTCCTCAACAAGAGCTTATAGCCTAGTCTACTTCATGCCCAATTTAGTCTATTTATTAAATAAGCTTAAGCTAGCTTCAGACATTTGATTAAGCTTATTTAATTAAATATGTTAGGTTTATTTTTTCAAGACCTAAGTTACGACCTCAACAAGTCGACTTATTTATATACTATAATTGATAAATCAGGATATATATTATATGCTATAATAGTTCTAAATTATATTTAAGACGTTTAAAACTAAAATGCGAGTTTATTTAAAAGGTTTACTTTTAAGTCATGTAAGATTTTAAATAGACTCAAGTTTGAGCAGTAAAAAAAAATTTATTCAAATTTTAGGTCACGCTCGAGCCTCTAATTTAACATATAGGCTCAACCTAATTCAGGTTAGCTTAGCTCCACTTTTATCCCTGTGTGTGTTAGAACAGTACACGTTCAAAGATATTTCAGATAAATGAGTTTGATCAATTTATGAGTTTGAATAGATAAGAAAAAGACACTCAAGTTACGTCAATTTAGAAGAAAAACTGGCATAGATATCTCATTGACAATTTAAGTTCAATTATTCCAAGGAGGTAAATATTGGGATTAATACCTTCAAAAAACCCATATATATATATCAACAGGCGAAAGCCTGAAAATATTTTTTTGGGTAAAAAAATATAGCCGGCCATGATCACGGATGTTGATAGTTGAAATACTAAAATAAATTTATATATACATATATATATTTATCATTTTAAAAATTAATTAGTCAGTCGGATCATGATAGCACGTAAACCTGAAATCTCCCGAGACAAATTTCAAAGTTGTCCACCGTGGCTAAGAACGAATTTGCAGTAACTTGTGTTCAGTTTCACTTGCACGTGGCAGTTGAATGATTCTAAAGGTCTAGATAACTGACGCTAGACACCAAGGTGATGGGAACTTGTTGAGAATTTATCCGTGAATCATCAGAATTCAGACATATCCAAATAATAAAAATTTCACACACGACAAATTAAAACAATAGTACATTAATCAGAGACATCCGATTCAGCTCGGAGCAAAATTTCCCAAATCACTTTTTTTTTTTGTATTAAACACATCTCGATGGATGGGCATAATTAATGAAGCTACCTAGAGATATGTTATTCCGAAATTAAAATCTTGAAAGCATTTTTAATTACTAGTTATGTACACCCTCCTTTAAAAAATATAAGATATTTTTAATTTTTTAAATTATAATTATTGTCTTTTTTAAAAAATATTCATATTAAATAAATTATTTTATATTTATTTTAGAATGAAATAATCTATTAAATAGAGACAAATATGAAAAGATAGAATTAATTTAAAGATAAATAATTATTTTATAGAAGATGAGATTCAATTAAAAATGTTTTATATTTTGTAACGAAGGGAGTAAATAGTTTGATATATAATTTAATCACAATTAAGAGATGCAATCCCATGACCCAGTCGTATTATTAAATTAGTGTCACCAACTCTAAACGAAAACTTCACCCATATATCCACAACAATTACCTAACCAAAGTAATTATATTAGAGGGCCAACAAGAGACATATTCCACATCTTTGGTTTTATGATTTAAAAGCTGAACTTTTCTCCACATCGTTCCATTTTATTCTTTTTTTAATACGGGAGTGAATATTTATATATTTTATTTGTAAGATAGCATTTGTTTTAATGCGGGAAACTAATCAATTCCTTTATCAGATCATACCACAGAATCGGGTTTTGAAATTTATAAAAAATATACTTAATTATATATATTTTTTCCACGTTTTAACTATCAATGTTTTTGTTACTCTCGGCATCTCTTCTCATCCATTGTCATTGTCTCTTGCCAATTAAAAAATAGAGGTAAGCTTGACGCACCACTCTCAATTTTCTGTTTTTACTTCTCCAAGTGATCAACTTGTCTTAATTCTACTTATAAATTTTTATACCATTTAAAAAAACGATTTTAAATATAAATTCAAATTCACAATCCAAACGCTACCCAATGACATTCGGGCTTTTCTTGTAAAAAAGGATATTTGATATCCGCCTCCTTATTTTAAATTATAAAATCATAAAAAAAAAAGATATTTAAACTCGATCGTCTGTTCTTTGATGGCATTCACATAGAATATAACACCTAAAAGGGAAAACTCAGAGTCGGTCATGAGTCACATGCATGCAAATATGTAAAGATGAATATTAATTAATTAATATGTCATATGGGTGTACAGGAAGAAGCCTCAAGAAGTATCGATTACGTTGAGACAGATTTGCATATGCGTTCAACTACCAAACCGACACACAGTGGATTACAGGTCCAACGTTAGATATTTTAGATATACATAGCCATATCCAGCTTGTAAATTCAAATCGAATCATTATTATTATGTACAACGCATCCAGGCTTCTTCCTCTTCTTCTTCTTCTTATCTTGCAAGCATCAGCATAGTTGAATTTATGAATATAAATGTTTATCCTGTGGGCTTTAATTAGATTATGTATATAACCATTTCATTTTCTCTGTGTTTCGTCGAACTCCTCTCTTCTGATTGATTACCTATCCTTCTTACGTTATAATTAAGTATACCTAGAAAAAGTTACAAATAAGACACAAGTTTTTCAGCTCTTCACTCTTGTCGCCTCTCTGCTTGTCTTTCTGAAGCCGTTGTTTCATGAATTCTTATTCTTGCATCACCAAAGCATGACATGCATTTTCTTATCATCAAATCAACAATGTCCTGTCGTCATTAGGTTTGCTTGTGTAATTTATTATATATTTATTTAAGAAAAAATTACACAAGTTTTGAAATTAGAATGAAAGCATGTCTAATTTTTTTTTGGGTGTTCATGATCGCTGGGAATGGACCTATATTATGTCTTATTAATCCAGACTCGATCGTTTATCAGGCTCTCAAGTTAAAGAGATATCTTTAAAGATATTTTTATCAGCATAAATTCAACAAAAAAAAAAAAAGAAAAGTAAATATAATTAATTCAAAGCTACTTTTAATAATTTGAGCGTTATGTATATAAAACTCTCTAGTAATTTTAAATTTTTAATATTGATTAGTTAGGGAAAGAAAAAACTTCAAGACAGAATTCTAACAGTGTGTTGTTGGGCAATTGACATTCTAACTCCCATATTGAAAGAAAAACTTTACTTTACTATTAAGAGTAAAACAGTTAATGCATGTAAATCTTGACACGGTGGCAGCTAATTAAGCTGACTGAATCCCACACGTGAAAGTAATTATAATGAAGTGGATTAGACTACATGCAATATTTGCAAATTAAACAGCGAATCACAAATAACAAGTCCAAGATTCCACGAGATCTGTGTTCACACCCACTTGAGCTCATAGCTCCAAAGATGCTGATTCACACTCAAATTAATTAGACCAAATCAAGCATCCATCTCACTAACCTTGCTTTTAATTAGTATTATTAATTGCTTTTCTTTATGTCATCAAATCTGGGTCCTACACGGCATCTCATTCTCATGTCTTCGGTCAACAAAGCCCACCTTCGCCTCTCCTCTTCATATATATACCTAAACCTCCCCACCTCTCTATCCTCTCTCATTCCAACATTTCATTCAATTTACACACACAGGCATATACATACATACATACATACATATATATCTCCATATCATCATTCAGATTCAATAAGGTATATATAGCTGATCAGATAAACATGGGAAACTGTTGCCGGAAGACGTCGTCGATGGAATGGGCCGGCGACGACTGGGGTTCGTTGAGGTCGTCATCGTCAACGAGATCGAGCAAGGTATTTGACGAAGATCATGCATGGCCGGAGAAGAAGCAGCTTCTGGGAGCTTGTTCTTCTTCTGATAGAAGTAATAAAGAGAGTGGGAAAGTGACGATAAAGATCTCGAAGAAGGAACTCGAGGAATTAATGAGAGGTCTGGGGAAGAAGGAGCGAGAAGGAAGATCAGCTTCTGCGGAACAAGTTCTGGTTCGCTTGTTAAGCGCTAGAGATCATCATCATCATGCTCAGCATGGGCCTTGGAGGCCTGTTCTGCAGAGTATTCCTGAGCTTGATTAATTTTTCAATTTGTTGTACAAATTACAATCAAAACCATCAAATCCCTTCATTGTATTATTCTTTTTTTTTTATTGGGTTTGAATCTTGCGATTTCGTGTATATGTCATTGTAACCTGGGAATTAATGCGCAGTGCTTTATAATTTTTAAACCGGGTTTACTGTCATTGATTGATTTATTTCATTACAAAAGGTATATATATTGGTGCAAGGATACTAATTACATGTTATATTTACCAATTCATTGAAATAAATAGCGTGATTATTAATTATTAATTAAACAAACATTTATTACTTTAATGGCTATGTGTAAATAGGAAAGTATCCTATAATATATATCCAGCCCTTAATTAATATTCCTGGTGCTACCCTTTCTGGATCCATGACGTCCACTACGTCGAGTTTGATCATTTCTTTTTTCGTTTTTCTTTGCTACGAGGTTTCCTTGATTAAGTATTGTTTGGGATATGTAGTCTCGCTACTATACTGATCCCCTACTTCTTTTGAGAGGTTTCCTTGATTGTAGTTTTTGTTTTCTTAATATATATATATATATATATATATTAACATCCTATCGGTTTTATGTTCTGCCAGTATTTTTTTAATAGATTTATATAGAACCTGCTATCTGGATCTGAGGTTGAAACTTTATTTTTGTCCACACACACATTCTTTCAATTTTTTTTTTTTGACTGAAAATGGAATAGAAACAGCCAAATTTACAAGACCAAAAACAAAACAGAAAACCAGCACCTTTCACCATCCTCCTCCTCTAGAAGTTAAACAGATTGATGATTAAAGGAGCCATAAGAATCCGCACTAACAAGCCCAATGTTCAAGAAGAGTATTGCGATAAATATTATCATGCCAAGCACACATTCTTTCACCTTTTTCTTCAGCAACAACCAAATCTAACTGTTCGTCCAGGCTTGGTTTGGTTTGAAAGAAAGATGTTTTTTAAGTAAAATGAAGGAAAGATTTTTAATGGAGTGAGGATGGGAATGGAAAAAAAGTACTTTATGTAAGAAAAGAAATAAAACAATTTAATATGAACAAAGTTAAATTTAGTGAAAATGTCTGGTCTCTCACTTTCTCAACACAACAAAATAAGGTTGAAATTTTCATCGAAATAGTTGTTCACATTTAGTACCAAATATTGCCTTTTGATAGGAGTGCACCAATGTACAATAAAAAAAACATAAAACAGTTTACCGAGTGATGTTCGGTGTGATGGAGATAAAAAAGAAATGAAATAAATAAATTTAAGAAGACATGCCCATAACAGTAAAAAGAACAAAAATAATTCGATGGAAATGTTTTTTAATGGATTCCATGCTCTACAGTAACTCTCCCTCTGAGGGCTGTGTGAAGATGTTTTGAGTTCAAAGGCAAAATTATTAGTAAAACTTAACATGTGTAATTGTCCCTTTAAAAAAAATGCACTCATCATTCTTTACAAAATTATATATTAAACTTTTATATTATAGTGATTCTAATAAAATATTAAATTAATTCAATAGTTAAGTGAAAAATTAGTATTTACAAAGTGCTCATAGCCCATCTTATATATTGCGATAGAATATTAATAATGATATGGGATGGCAATGCATTTTTAACAAAAAAAATATAATTAAGACTAATAATATCAATTATTAATGTGAAAAATTAATAATAATTATATAAATTATAAACAAGATTTTTAATAAGGCTTAAAAGTATCACATTGATGGTTTAAAATTACACAAAGTCTTGATACTAATATTTGTCAATGTTTTAGGCTTTAGAATAAGAAAATGATAAAATGAAAGTGAGACTGTGAAAAAAATTTAATGTAAGTTCATATAATGCAAATCAATATCTTATAGTTCTCACTATTCTTTTTTATGTAGATAACGAACTCAGCTCAATAATATGATTAAAACTTTTTAACAAAAAAAGCAATCAATATTTTTTATTATATTTCATCCACAATTAAATATATAATAATACAAATATCATTTCCACGTACATATATAATATGGGTATTAATATATATATTTTTGGAGGCTAAAGGCAATTGCCTTATGGCTTCCATGGCCCTGCTCCCTCCTTGTCACAATGGAATCATTTTGTGCCAAAATCTTTCCCACTGGAATCATGGAAAAAACTTGTCGTCAATTTTTGTAAAACCACGTGCCGTACACTGAAAGCCAAACCAGTAACTAGTTTCTTGGGCCTTGCCAAGGAATTCAATCTAGCGTGGCAAAGAGCGCTTATTGAGACATTTTCTTCGGTTTCAGTAATTTAGGCTTATGTCTGGCCCAAAAGGCAGAAGAGAACTAATCTGGGATTATGGGCTGTCTTTCTCACATGTTGCCCATTCAAGGAAAAAAGCCCATTGCCTCATATAAATGAAGACAGCCCAAATCCACGAATTTAATTTGAATCTTTTGAGTGTAGTTTATCATCACATAAGATTGATTCGCTCAATTAAATTGAGTTAATTTATTTTTCCATTCTAGTTGAATTGGTAAAATAATATTAAAATTATTTTATTTTAATTTATTTATTTTTTTGAGTGACTGAAAGTCAAAATTGTAACATCCTGATTTTTTTATATAATAAAGAAATTGTGGAATTTAGGTTTTGAGAAAAAAAATGATAATAATAGGAATTTATATTATTTGAGGTTATTTAGAAATAATATTATGGTTAGGTATTTAATTATGAATTTAAAAATTTAAATTTAAAATCACATAAGCAATATTTAGTTAAGATATAATATATAAATAATTTTTTTTATGTATGTGTTGAAAAAAAAAAAGAGAAGGTAGAAGGAACAAAAAAAAGGGGGTGGAAGGTTGTTGTTTCTAAGTCCCACATTGGTTAGATGAGGGAAGAGAAGAGGTGCCTTCATGTATAAAAAGGAGGGGGTGTGTGCATTAGGAAGCATGAGAGGCTAAGATGCAATTTAGAGAAATTGCAACTTTTGGCCCAAAGGTTTGAATAATTAAATTCAAACCTATAGTTTTTTTTAATATAATTTTGGGACTCACAATCCCATTTTTATATTATTTTTCTCTCTTTCTCTCACGTTGCTCGGCGTTTTCTTACAAGGGGGGATTATTTTCTTTTTCTTCAGGTATGTTCTAACTTTCCTGTTTAGATTAGCATTTAAAAATTTATTTAATTACAAAATTAATTTTATAGTTATTTTTAAATAATATTAGCTTTCTAGTGATATGATTATTTTGTAGGATAGAGTAAATATTTTGATTAGGATTTTTCTATAGGATAGTTAATCTGATGATATGATGGATTAAAAATATAGGTTAAAATTTTAGGGATATAAAAAATATTATAGAATATTTTTTTAAGGTTGAAACTCATGTTTAAGAATTTTTGAGTTAAAATCTAGATCTATATGGTTGAATTTATGTGGAATCTGAGACGTAGGGATAAACCTATGATTATTAAATATTTATTTAAGTATGAATAGGTATTTTTGAGGTTATAGAAAGGTGATTTGAGGCTTCAGGATAATTCTAAAATTTTTAATTTATTTTTGGATGAATTTTTAGAATATAGAAGGATGAAATTGTGATACTAGAAGTGAATTGAGGATAAAAAAAATAGTTCATTAGGGTACGAGAATTTTAGAAAAGAATTTAAAAGTTAAATGAGGCATAAATCTTAAATTAGTGTTAATATGGACTATAGATCTAAGACTTTCTAACTCTTTAAATTAGAGTTATTTATTTTAATGTAAAATTAATATATAGTATTGTGAAATAATTATGTAGATTATATTGACAAAGATAGTGGTGAAAAAGGAGTTGTGAAGGGGAACTTGTTATTCAAGACACAAGGTAACCATTATTAATGTGTTGTGATGAGTGTGTTTGTGAATGGTTATGTGTTGTTTTGTTGTTTTGAAAAATTATGAATTATTAAAATAAATACTGTATATACTTGTTTGAAATTATTGCCAAGTGGGTTAAAAATTTATTTTTGTTTATCATGATGAGATATTATTGTTCGGATATATTCCTGTTTGGATATTTGAATGATGCATGACTTGTCAGGGTATTTTAATGTATGGTGTTAATGGAAATTTCTGTTCGGTTAATTATTACCACGTGGTAAGCCCTCATTGGACCCAATGAGTGGCGTGTCGCTTGGTCCAACTCACCTTTGGCCGGGTGATTTGGCGTCCGAGCATGGCGAAAGGAGGATATAAGGTGCAGTCATGCAAATTAAATACTTGTTCGGTTTGTTTGAAAGTATTGTTCGGTTAAATGTTTTGTGTGCCCACTTAGCAATCGCATGATTAGTTACATCCGCATGCATCATTACATATTAATTTTTGGTTACTGGGACTTTTAAGTCTCATTCCCCGTGGTTAATATTTTTACAGGAGCGAGTCCGGCCGAGAAAGCACCAGAGGTGTAACTGTGGTGTATGAGACACCATCTTTTACGTTGCCTCTTATTTTAGATTATACAATGTATCTTGTGCCAACTTAGGACATATCTTCTTTGTGAAGCATGTAAACTCTAATCCTTTTTATTAAAAGTATTTATATGACCAAGAGGATTATGTCTGTCGCTCTTGATTTATGATCTGATTTGAATAACATGCTATGAGGATCATGTCTGTCCCTCATGGTTCTAATTGTTTTTTTTTGAGATATTTTAAGACCTGTGGTATATTGTCTTGGATGTATCGTGGTAGAAATTTTTCTACCATGATAAGGGTTCAATGAAAAAAATAAAAAAATAAAAAAAAGGATTTGTTGAATTAATAACTTGTGAAAAATCGGTCTGTAAATTTGAGGGTGTTACATATTGGTATCAGAGCATATAGTCGGTTGGCAATATACATTGTTATGGTGCTTCTCATTGTATGGCCATGATATAGCTAGGCTAATTTTATTATTTATATCTTGTATCCTTTAGGAGGGGAGAGAAAATGCCTGTTACTCGTGGTAACTCAGGATTCCAACATGAGCACCTACCACCGCCACTGCCAAATGAGGAGCCTGACTTGGCGGAATTAAGAATGCTTGTAAAAACATTAACAGACAAGGTTCAAGGATACGAACAAGAGTTGACGGAGCTAAAGAGGCAAAAGGTAACTGAAAATGGAGATAGGGCTCATGTTGAGAGTCATG